AATTCCTTTTCTTTTCTTCTATTCCTCCAAGTAACTGTTTCAGTTTTGCTTTTGAGACCTTCTACCCAGATAGAACATTTAGGCAAGCTGATATCTTCAAAGCTTCCTGCCGAGTTGAAAGAATAGAATCATGTTATAAATCTTGGGATATAGTAGACACAATAAGGCCCCTCTGATCTCCTTGTTAATGGGATGTGGTCTGTCCTGTGATTGGAGAGGGTGAAATTGGAAGGATACTGGAGATTACATCATAATGCAGGAAAAGGAATTTTCTTCCCCATGTCAGGCTAGGGCTAGGCATCGCTTACCTCTGATGGAGCGCTGTTCAGTAAAATCTCCTGAATTTCCCTGAGCCGACAGGTATCGTTCTTCTTTTTTTTTTTTTTTAAGTTACCATGTGTCCCTATGGGATCCCCAATACTGGAAATGTAGCTCTGGTGTCATCGAAGCATCGTTAATACAATTATTAGTTGAATAATAATTGTAGTTTTTTACTGAGCACTTATTTTGCCTGGCGTAGTTATTACTGGGCACTTTACACTGAGCAAAGTCTCATAAATGACCTTTTGAGGAAAGTATACTTAGATTTCCACTTTATATATGAAAAAAAAGGTCGGAGAGTTTAAATGACAGTGTTAGAAAGTGAACTTGGGCACCATGTATTACAAAAAGAGCATGAATTGAAGCCAGTCAGGCTTGGGTTCAAATCCTGGGCTTTATCATACACCAGCTTTGTGCCTTAGGCAAGTAAATTAACCTTTCTGAGTGCATTTTCTCTTAACATATTTCAAGCTTCTTAACATTTCTGAAGCCTTCCATGATGTCCTCTTGTGGTACTTGTGCATAGCTGTATCATTTAGTAGGTATTTCAACCAGAGTGTAAACTGAAGGAAGAGGTCACATTTTATTCCCTTTGAATTTCTAGGACCAAGACGTGTATATATCAGGTGGTCTACAATGACACATGAATTAACAATGTATGATTTATAATAATATTTACCAATTAGTTTAACATGAAGTTTAAATAAAATATTGGAGCAGTAGAAAGTTTTGAGTTTGCAGTTGGAGAGACCAAGATTAAATCTAATTTCTACCTTTTAGAAACTTAAGTAAGCTACTTTAGATCTCAGAGACTCAGCTGAAACATAGGATAATACTATTTATTTTCACAGTTGTAGTAAAAGTTAATAATTCTCTCTCTCTATTTACTGGTAAGTAGGAATCATTAATCAATGTTAGCTTTTATTATTATTGCATATGAATATAGTTTGTATAGAGTGCTACACAAATATGCTCATTTAACAAGTATTTACTGAGCACCTATAATACACCAGGTTTTAGGTGTGTGGCAGTCAACAAGAAACGAGTACCATACTTTTGTGGAACGTACATTCTGGGGCTGGATACAGAGTGAGTGGGGACACAGAGAATAATAGGTCAGTCTCAAGAGCAAGCCATTATTACCACATTATCAACACCATTCATGGTTGTTCAACACTGAATATTTTCGTGCTGAGCTTTCATGGTTTCGGCTAAAGGGTAAAGGATTTAAATTCAATGTTTTAAAGCCTACCCTTCTAATGCTTTGAAGGCAAGGGCCAACCATACTCCTTTTGTATCCCATAGCACCTGGCAAAGTGTCTGGGACTAAGTAAATGTTTGAATATGTTTGAACAGTTGACTTTCCTTTCTCGAGACCCAGCAACGTGATGTAGCTCCACAATTCTAGGTGTGGACACAAAAACATTTTTCTTAAAATGAGGATAAGGTTATGACGTATAATTACTTTTGATCATAATCATAACTCTTTATTGGGAGCTCACTATGGGCCAGGCACTGGCCAGGCAATTTACAGATGCTGTCTTGTTGAGTTTTTACCATAACTCTGAGATAAGTACTATTTCTCCTTAATTTTACCTATAAGGAGTTGAAGTTTTCATTGTGTCCATATAACTTGACTTAATATACACAAGCAGGAAGTGACTTTGGGAAGCATAGCGTAATAGGTGCTTAGAAGATGGCAGCAGTTGTGGTGAAAAGTGAATTCAGGTCCATTTGGTGGATCGTCTAAGATAGCTAAGAGTCTCAAGAGCTCTCCCAGCTCTACCAGGTGAGTCAAAATGTTTTGCAAATCTATGTTGTCTTTTCAAGTAATACAGTTCATTCTGCATTATATGAAAAGCGTACATTTTTGAGGCCAATTAAAAAAACTCTATGTAATTAGAATACAGATATGTGTCTAATTTGCTCTGAAAACTAACTTTTTCATTTGTATTGAAGACATTTAACAATCAACTTGGTAATATTTAAAATCAGAATTGGAGATGTCACAGGACTAGAAAGGGAGATGAAACAACCATTTTCAAAATAAAAGAAAACTTCCATTCATTAGTATATGGGAAAATTTAACTAGTGTATTGTCTAAAAATAACAAAACAGTAATATTTCAAAACTCAAGAGGAACAACAGAACAATAATAGCACTGAGCATTTGTAAGATAAAACCTTCATTAATAGATTTCTATAGTGAATGGAAGGGATTGTGAGAGATTGTTTATGTGCTGCAATTTGATTATGTAATATAATGCAAACATATTTTATTTTTACACATTATAACTCTGGACTAATGTATT